TTACTAGAAAAATCAGATATGAAGTTGTGCTCACATCCCCTGCGTGATCCTTGTTGAAGGATTGCAGTTCTTATTGAATAACTGCTTTGTTGATCCTGCCTCATCTTAAGCTGTGTCATCTTCAATGGAGGTGGGATTTGGTGACATCTTTAGGCGTGAACACCTACGTTGGGAGCTACGTTTGTGGATTCCGTATCAGGTATATCCCTTCCTCATTTTGGTTACAAATTTGGTTCGGTTTGTTTCAAGAATGAACCTTGAAAAATGCAGTTTTTCTAAATCAGGGAATACTATTCCCGGAAGGGAGAAAGAAATTTTTTGAAATTTCGCTCAACCACCCTACATGGTTCGGCCATCCATATGATGGATCTCCCTTCCCTTCATCAGATTCATCTCAAGAGGTGTGTTAACCTATTTGTCATCACTCAGGTTTGCAAATTGCATAGCTGTGTTGATTAACAAAATACCGACGGGAAGAGTCAGTAACTTCTAACCCCAAGAAATAAGTGAGATGACCAAGGTCCTTCATCTTGAAGGACTGACTGAGAAGCTGTTTCAGAGAGGAAATACCCTGACTGTCATCACCGGTAATAAGAATGTCATCCACGTACAGAAGTAATAGTGTAATTCCTTGGGGACGTCTCGATATGAATAATGAATAATTTGAAGAGCTCTGGGTGAATCCTACATATGTGATCACTGAACAAAATTTCTGAAACCATGCCCTGGGGGCTTGTTTAAGACCATACAAGGACTTTTTAAGTCAACAACCAAGGGAGAACCATCATAGTATCCCGGTAGAGGCTTCATATAAATAGTTTCCTTGAGGTCCCCATGTAAGAAAGCATTTTTGACATCCAACTAATGAATCTCCCAGTGTTTAATTGCAGAACATAGCCAACAGTAGACGAACAGTGGTCATCTTAGCTACGGGGGCAAGTGTCTCATCATAATCTATCCCATACTCCTGCTTATACCCTTATGCCACCAAACGTACCTTATATCTATCAAGGCTCCTATCAGGATTAAGTTTCACTAAATATAATCACTTGCTTCCAATTAGAGGCATCTGGAGGGGCAGGAACCATGTCCCAAGTATCATTTTAAATAAGAGCTTGGAGCTCAATATCCATGGCTTCTTTCCAATGTGGGACAGTCATAGTCTTCTGGTGTGATGTGGGAATATCTGTGACAGACAAAACAGCAGAGAAGGAGCTATGTTTGATGGAAAACCATAGCAGTCAAGAGGGCGAGAAACTCGAGATGAATGACGTAAAGGAGGATCGAAGGATGGTTGGGGATCATGGATAGGTGCAGGTGTACTTACAGGATCAAGAAAAGAAGAGGAACTCATGGCTAGAGATGATGGATCAGCTTCTGGTGATGAAGGGGGCAGAGTGATAGGAGACGAAGCAGCTAGCCTCTTCTTGGAATAGACATGGAGCAATTCTGGAATAGGAGGTGAATTAGAAGAATCTACAAAGTCAAAAGAATACAACATCAAAATGGAAGTAGTAGGCAACTTAACAATGTGGGCAAAAAAGGAAATGTTTTCAAGAAAGATAACATTGCGGGATACACAAACTCAACGAGACTGAGGATCATAGCAAAGAAAGCCCTTATGATCAGGGCTATACCCCACAAAAACACATATTGCTGATTGGGGAGTAAGCTTTGTGCGCTCATGTAGTGGAACATGAACAGAACACACACAACCAAAGACATGAAGTATAGAAAAATCAGGTGGATGGTGAAACAAGCTTTGAAAAGGAGAGGTATTATGTAAGACAAATGAAGGAAGAATGTTAATAAGATACACAACAGTGCTGGCCACCTTCACCCAAAATGGAGTAAGAGCATGGGAATCATGAAGAAGGGTCCAAACTATGCTCAAGATGTGGAGTGCTAGGAGAAGATCTCTGGAATTGAATTCCACTGTCTCTCAAAAAGTTTTGAAAGTCTCCATCAAGGTATTCACCCCCCGAGTCTGAATGGAGAACCCCAATGTTTGCTAAGAAAGATCTAAAGATAGAAAAAACTTTAGATTTGTTTCTCAAAAAATATATCCAGGTAAAGCGAGTACATTCATCGATAAATGTAACAAAATATTTATATCCCAACCTGGAAATAACTGGAGACGACCAAATATCACTATGTACTAGATTAAAGAGAACAAAAGCATGTTCAACAACATTAGGAAAAAGGTAAAACATGACTTTTACTCATGCAATAAGAAATGCAAGCTTTATCAACATTATTAAAAGAAGCAAAAGTGGAACTTACAATCTCGGATGCATTAGAAATGCATGATCTTCCTCCTATCAAAATGTTCTTTCAAATTTTTTATGCAGCAAGCAAAAGTGGTTTCACCCATGTGAACCAATTCATATTCTGTCCACAAATTCACAAAGCCAGCATAGTACTGTATTTTCTTCTCATCCTGACTGTAAGAGAAAAATTCTGTCTCAATTTAATACTAACGAGAGATGTTGGAAAGTTGGTACACTTCTTCCATGTAGGTGAGCATCTCACTAGCAGTCTGATAACTTCTCATTGGAATAGCAATCTTAGTTTCAATGGAGCCAAGAAAGACATAACTTTGGCATTGTCGATCTTCCACTGTTTCAACCCCTTGGAATTAGATTCATCGGGTTGTTTTGTGGAACCATCCACAAATCCCCATAGACCATTTCCCTCAACATAGAATTGGAAATGGAATTTCCAGAAGGCATAGTTTGTCCCATTGAACTTTACTGGTAGAATATCTCTTTTCTCCATGGCCATTTCAGCAACTAAGAAACAAAGAACTTAGGAAAGTAGGGCAGCCGAAGGTCCAAATGAAAACAAAACTTGATGGAAGATGTGTGTCCAATCACATGCCACAAGGAGGAAGCAAAACCCAATAAAAAAACAGCCACACAAAGTTTTAAAACTGATAACAGTCCAAAAAAGGCAAGTTTCCTGGACTGTTGAACAAGAAGGACAAAACACCCTTCAAATGTAATCTGAACCAGAACTAAGTTGTAGATCTATATAAATCTGACCTGAGCAACTTCAGATCTGGAGTTTCACAGCGATTGAAGTATCTGATTGAGAGAAAGAGAGGAAACCCTATTGCTGAAGGCGATCTTCCAGAGAAAGAACAACATAGTTGTGCTAATCAGTACAGCAACCTAAGAGATCCAAAGTTGAAGTAGATGGGTCGATCTCACAAGCCAAAACAGATTTCAATCAAGAACAGGTGAAAAAACCCGCTCTAATACCTTGTCAATTCAGTTCAAATCAAAGAAGAAGAACTAGGAAATGGAAGGGTGTGTTCTCTTGAGTCACACGCCCAGAAATGATCATCTTATATTTAAGTGTACAAGGCTATGGAAATGGCAGTTGTGTCCTTCTCTTACAAGAAAGAATAAAACAAAAGAATAGTATACATAAGTTACAACATAAAAGAGTGGTCCCAAGAGCCAAAAAAGGAAAGAAGATGTAAGAAACATAAATCAGTCTCTACAGTAGGGCTGCAAACGGATCATATCAAATTGGACATAAGGAGGATTCAAATTTGATTCATTTACAATCACATGCAAATCAAATTGAGATTGCAATCTGATATTTAATAACATTAATAAATTAAACTAAAAATGATCAAAATGTTATATATTATTAACAAAATGACTTTTTCCAAACCCTAAAATTTACTCCCAATGGAGGGGTGGCCACTGTAAATTTCATCTCATCGCTTTTCTATTAACAAATATTGTATATCGTGAACAAAATAGATTGGAAATAAATTTTATGAAACTTAAACCAATTACTCTTTAGTAAAAGCACAATGTTCAAACCAACTTTACTAACAGATGGAATATAAATTTTAAGTATACATAAGCTTATATATTAAGTTGGATCTAATTGGAATATCGAATCGGATAGGAGTGAATCCATATTTGATCCAATAATAAATGAATGAATTCAGATCACCCTCAACTGGATGAATTTGAATTCAGATTCAGATAAATGGATAACATTTGCAGCACTAATACGATGGAGTTCCAATGTTTCACCATAGATGAATATCCTTAGAGTGGCTAGTAGTGGCATCAACATCTACTTGGAGGCACAGAAGTATCATTACTTGGATACCCTGACCACAAAATATGATGAAAATGAATTCTGATATAGTATCGGAAACCCAAGTGAATCAAGCAGTAGTGATGTATCCAGAAACCATAGAGGTGGCATCTGAAATTTTCAGGCCCGATAAATGTGTAGAACTCAATAAGAGCAAAATTGCTAGCTGTTGCAAGGAATTAGGTTGGCATGGAAAAAGGCCTCAAAATCTGATCATAGAAGGAGATTCATGGGTAATCATTAACTAGCTGAAAGGAGAAATGGAATGGCCTTGGCACCTTGGATATCAAATCATGATAGCAAGAGCTGGATAGACCATAGAAGTAGAACTCCCTTGGATCCCCAGGTCTGCAAACTCCTTTGCAGAGCTCGAGAGCAAGTAAACAGGATACTGCACTGGAGCAGGTACACTCTAATGTAAAGGAAGTTTTTCTGGTGTCATATAGTTAGCTCAAACAGATGATAATGGAAAGAGCAGCAATGAACTGGCTCTAATGTAAAGAATGAGAGAGAAAGGCTATACACCATAATGTATATAACTGTATATCTCAGATAGTATCAATGAAATGTATACCGGCTATTAATAAAAAATAAAATAAAATAATTTATAACTATCTATACGAAAATCAGAAACAAAAGCTATATTGTAAAAGAAAAATGTACACAAATTATTTCATATCAGTCCAATGATATCTTTGAAGATGTCCTAAAAAATACAAGATATTTTAAAGGTTAGGCAACCACAACTGAGGACCATACAGGTATAATAGCATGTGGAACTCACAAACATGTTGATAAGTTTTCTAAATCTAAGAGTACAAGTATAATTTGAACGGTAAAAAGAGTGTAGTAATATGAAAAAGCATTCTACTCACAGAATGAGATTTGGTTGATATCAGTCCTTCATAAATCTTCACCTTGGGTAAAAGCAGTCTGCAGAAGGTCCCAGAATAATGTTTTAAAGTTGGTGGTTGGAGGATGATCTTATTTTATGGCAAACTTCATTGAATTATCCTCAATTGGATTGGACAGTGATTTTGGATCCCAATGCACCCCCATCAAAAAATGGCCATAACCCAATGTTGGTCCCAGCTATCTAGGGTCTTCGAAGGGGTGGACAGAATATGGACCTGACCTTTGGCTTTTTTTTGCACAAAGTGGCAGCTCTTAGACTTAAACCCCCATCAAAAGAAAATAAATAATTGATAAAGGGGCACTCCTAATAATAAGGCACAAACACCAATAACAAAGTTACCAGACAGAAAGAACATTAAGTAGATAGCTTAGGTCCATATGCTGGGGTAATCATGATCTTTTTCACTAGGCTGCACCCAAATTACCAAAACTAGTGGATGAACAAATTAAACAGAAACTTCACCTATTTTTTATATCTGCCTCCCTTTGACCAAGCCGTGGTCTGTCAGCTGTTAGAACAATAGCCTTGTACCCATTACTTTCAGCTCTCTGCACAAGATGAGCTGAAACGTCCCGTCTTTTTAATACCTATTCATTCAGGAAAACTGGATCACTCAAGTTCCTAGTAACTGTAACTCTAGCCTATCAGAAATTGACATTAGTAAGCCTACTACAATATTGTTGAGAAAATAGCCAAATTTCGTACAATAACAGAAACTTATTAAGGATAGCATACATATAATTGAAAGAACCGAACAGCATCACAGCTTGAAGCGACCTCCTCCAATGTGCAATTCGATGTGAAGGATAATACCTATAGCTCAAACAGCATGAACATTCACATATTTAAATAAGAAGTTGACTTCAACAATAGGATCATCTTATACCATAATAGTGTTACATGCTGCTGCAGCTCTTGCTGTTGCAACCTCTCCTGAGAAAAGAAAATTTGACAAAGTAGAACTTGGAATCAAGATTAACAATGGAGACTAATGGAAGAATCATCCCATGGGGATTCTAACCTTCAGGGTGAGCTATTTTATGCCTTGCCGTGGGAGCAAGCATGATTGGCACTGATATTTTATGACCGAGTATTGTAGTTGAGAGGTTTATTCTGCTCACATCAACAAGAACCCTTGGCCGAAATCTGAGAATTCATTAAGCTAATCGTAAAATAGTGAATTCCATTTGATTAAACAACAAAAAGGGAGTCTGACATATTACGTAATTCTACGAAATGCTTCAATGTTCTCCCGCAGTGTGTACTCGTCATCTGCTCCACCAGTAATGAAGTCATAGTACATCTTTGGAAGAATTTGCTTAGCCAATTTTTGAAACTCACTCACATTAACTGGTTCCTGCTCCATTTTCTCCTGAAAAAAAAAATGACCAGTAATTTGTTGGTACGCATATAACATACAGATTACAGAGCATATTTGCCATAAGTGAATAGGTACATCCAACTACTGTAATCAATCAGACACTCTAGCCAAGCTGGGCCTTCCTTTAGTAGATATTTAACAAAAGATCTACCATTTAAACAGTTGGAATCAAGAAAAGGAAACTGAATGTAGAAGGATAAATTTATAAAAGAGAAGCTTAAGGTTCAGCTACTTGATTCTTTTGTTCTTTCAACCAAGGAAGATATCTCTACTATGAAGAAAATCGAGTTACAGAGTGAAAAAAAAAAATCTGCCACCTAACAGAAATCATGTATTTCAAACAAATTTATGCCAAAATGGAGAATAACATTGAAAGAAAGAATAGTAACTTTAGGAGGAGAAATGAAATGACTGACTTTGCAAAAGATACACAGAGCACCCAACTAGTGGGAATCTGAAAGAGCAGAGCACTTAAAAGCGCATTTGAACTTTGAACCGCCTTTGCCGGCCTTACTGGAAATGCGGCCTTTAGACCTGTAAACTGCTTAGGCAGTGGTTAATTAAAGCTTCTCTTCTTCTGTACTCCCACGTTTTAAATGGTTGTCTTTGTTTTCTTTTTAATGTTTGTCGGTTTGGAATCATTGCAGACAATATTATAGCAGACGTCAAATGGTTGGTTGTCTGTGTCCACGGCATTATAGGTCGATACGGTACGGTCCATACGGAGACAACGAATATACTATCAGGTGAGGCAGTGGAAGAATGGATATTTCTCGTGACCTCCTCCTATAAAAAAAAGACATTCTTTGGAAAATTTGTTTGTTGCATGTAGGTGAAAACTTAAATAAAGTTTCATAAATTGAAAATTTGTATGTGCACGAAGGGTAAAACTTACCCTGTGATGAGTTTTATTGATGGGCTTCTTAGATATACCTATCCACTTAGACTTCCAATGAATCTAATCGTAATAAATGCGGTGCAAGTCGGACGCGTTAACACAACTTATTCAGAATGGAGGTTATTGCAAGATGCAATTAAGTGATCGGTGAGGTCTTGCGGGTAGTAGTAGAGACTTGGGATCCAATCTGTCCCCACCTAACTTGGAGGGATTATGGGTTGGAGTTCCGATAGTCTGTCCCTCCTCTAGGGACAGAATGGACATCAGCTTAAAACTAATGAAATTTTCTGTTCCGATAGTCATATTCTCTCACTCATTGTGAAACTAACGGAATTAGGATGGATGTCAGTTTTTATCAATTTGTTTAATCTCTCATTTTCATTCCTTCGTTCCCACCCATGCAACCCTAACCACCATGATAGGTCATTGCAGAGAGTTTGCTTAAATACTAAACCTCTTTTTTTGTTTTTTCTATCTGTGACCTCATGGGTATCCTCTTGGGAAAACTATTAAACGTACGGTTAGGGGACCCGGATTCCAGACCCCCCCCCCCTCCCCCTTGGTATGTCTTGTAGTGCTGAACTAGATACATGGGCTAGTAGGGATTGGGCCGGTTTTGACTTGGTTTTGGTGGGTAGAGTCAAGATCAACCCGAACCCAATGCAAAGGATATGCATGAAAGGTGTTCGGGTCATGGTTGAGCTGGCCTTAAGAGATACGTGGCCGTCCAGTCATCACCCGACCATGTCAGTACGGCCCGGCCAACTCCGCAGCATACACCGGCTCCGCAGCCCCAGCCGTACTACGCTATTACTGTAGCTCCCCATCTTATCCTCTCAGCCACATCGGTACAACCACGGATAGGAGGAGAGAGGAGGACAACTCCGCTAGGGAATAGGACTCTATCCCAAGGACCTCAATGGCTAACCTCATCCCAGCAACCCCGGAATCCCAATCCGACCAGGACACGGACCTTTGGCTATAAAGAGGTATTCTCTGCTCAAGGTAAGGGATTCCAATTTCTAGCACCCAGACTGTTACTCTGCTCAGATCAACACCCTTGTTGCTCGGTCTGACCATCCACTACCTTCTACTGACTTGAGCATCAGAGTGCCTACCCAGGGATAACTCCTTAGGCCTTTGACTTCCCTTTCTTGATCACAAGTCTTGAAACACGGCCTCGTCCTTCCACCTCGGCATCGCTCGGTTGGCAAAAACTATTTGGTTGCTCTCCTCAATTCGTGCACCACCTCGGATTGAGCGGCATTAGATTGGCGCCGTCTGTGGTAAACGCACAAAAAGCCTTTCCTGAATTCTTTTCTCCCCTGTCGTGCAATCAAGAAAGCGATCAAGATGCCCAAGAACCAATCCGAATGATCAACATGTTGATCCCCATCTCTGGAGTTTCGGCATCGCAACCCTCTACACCAAGAAATCCTGCAGCCTTTAGCCGTAGTTGATCCCACACAATTCCGGGCAATGCAAGAGAAGGTCGATAAGATCTTTGAGATAATGCAGACGCTAGGATCCGTGGCACCGCCCTCCAGGCCGTCCCCCCTCATGCCCCGATGCATACAAAGGACGATCCTCACCTCAAGGACCCCAAAATCTGTCGGCCAGACAAGAGGGGAGCATGGTCTGACCATGAGAAGCAAGACATGGCAAGGAAGTCTACCTCCACAGCTCACTCTTGCAAGCCCAACACCATAGTAAGATGCATCAAACTATGCGGATCCCCGCTAAAGAGAGGCTCGACAAGCGGATGCCACCTCATGTGGTTTCCGTTGTTAAGTCCAGCTCGATGAAATACCACTCCGCACGGCCCAAGAAGGAAAGAGCCACGTGTACCGCGGTCCCGGACAATAGGGACGCCAAGATCCGAGAGCTCTGACAACGCTTAGAGGAGTTGGAGTGCAGCCAAGTTCAGAGGAGCATGGCACCGCCTGTAAATCAGCCCGTGCAGCCAACTGCACCAACCGCCAAGGAACCACCATTCGCCTAAGAGATCGTGGACGAGGTGCCGCCCACAAGGTGGCGGGCACCTCAGCTCGATAAGTACGATGGGAATACCGACCCCGCCAACCACATTGAAGCACTGAAGGCTCAATTAGTGTTGCATGTATCTTCCGAGGGCCTGATATGCAAAGCCCTAGTGGCCACCCTCACGGGTCCAGCCCTAACTTGGTATTCCTTTCTACCTTCACATTCCATAGCGTCATAGGAAAAATTGGAGACCTAGTTCCGCGCATAGTTCACAGCAAGCTCGAAGCACTGGAAGACTTCAGCCAACCTTCTGCAAGTGCGGCAGAGGAAGACAGAATCTCTCAGAGACTACCTAGTGAGATTCAACAAAGAAGCACTATAGATCAGGAACCTAAACCAGTTCGTGGCTGTCACCGCTATTCAGAACGGGCTCCGCCCCTCACCTTTCAACTTCTCCATCTCCAAGAACCCTCCGCAGACACTAGCTGCACTAATGAGCCATGCCCAAAAATACATCAATGCAAAAGAAGCACAGGCGCAACTACAGGATGAGGAAAAAGGTCCGACAAGAAGAGGAGAGACACAGAGGAGCAAAAGTCAGAGAAATTAGATCGGGACCATAAGAGGCAGGAACGCCGGCCTGACCGTAGACCGTGGACACCGCCGCCGACCTATTGGAACTTCACAGCATTGAATACACCGCAGTATGAAGTTTTGATGCAAATCCGTGACCGCAGTTACGTCTGGTGGCCCAAAAAGATGAAAACACAAGGCAACAAGAGGAACCACGACAAGTATTGTGAATTCCACAGGGACCACGGCCACAACACGAACAACTATTTCGACCTCTGGAACCACATTGAGGACCTGATCAGGCACAGGTACCTCAACGGATTCGTCGACATGAACGAGAAGTCAACACAAGAAGAACCGTGCATAGAGAATGTTCGGTTTCCACCCGAGTTTCTCCTGCCAGCGTGATCCATGTGATATCAGGAGGGATCACCGCGGGAGGAGAGAGCAGCTTAGGGTGCAAAAAATATGCGCGACTGTGCGAAGTTGATAACCGAGGACAAAAGAAGAGGCGAGAAGATCCAATCAACTTCACTAAGGATGACCTCCGGGGGGTGCAGACTCCATAAGATGATGCCCTAGTGATCATAGCCGAAGTGGCCAACTTTGAGGTGCGGCACATCTTGGTTAATACAGGCAGCTCAGCAAATGTCCTCTTCGAAGAAGAATTCAACAAACTCGGCATCGACAAGAGTCATCTCGCACCGGCCAACACTTCCATGATGGGTTTCTCCGGGGAGTCCCTCATGCCAATCGGGAGCAAAACCCTTCCCCTTCTAATTGGGGATGAATGAAGGAATGAGAGATGTTGGACAGTTTTGTATGCCCTTAACTTCAATCAAAATGATGTACATTATGAGTTTATTGTAAATGAATAAAAGTACATATTTGATTCATGTTCCCTTGGTATGTTTCTGTGAAATACCCTTAAATTGGACACCTAATGAGACTCGTGTTAGTTTAGAATGTTCATAGCCAGGGGGTCGGTCTAGGGAGTCCTATCCTGATAAGGCTGACACTGTTGTGCCACCAAGTCGGTTGGGGAGGCCTATCTCAGCTACCAGGGTGAGACCCTAGGCACATACAGTGTAGGATTAATTGAATTTTTGAACTGGACCAGATTTCCAGTATTGCCCCGGAACTTGGAGATTAATGGGCAAAACTGGAAAGTTACACCCAACCCCTAGACTCGATTATGATACTGCACTAGGTGTCGGATTGGGCTGTCTTTGATGTACCAATCAGTGAGATCCTTGGTGGGGGTTAAAACCTAGGTATGTTGGGACAGTCTGAGAATTCATCTGAGTGGGCGATCATAGTGACAGGATCAACCCCTTTGTTGGACAAAGGTAATGATCGGGGAGGCACTCTCACTGATGGAAACCAAGACTGTTGGCAGCCGATTTCAATCATTGAAATTTGTTTTGCAAAATATATTTTATATGAGATACAAAAGTATATATATATATATATATTATGGTTTCTAAAACGTTTGCAAAAGGTTTCAATTCCCGGGATCCATATAAGTAGATAGTGCAACACTGTTCCTTGCAGCCGAGGGAGAGGTCCTCTCTTGTCGAGCAGTGTTTGATCATTATGGGCTGAGAGGTTAAGTGTAAGACCATTGAGGGTAATACCTGATGAGCTAATCTTGCATCTGCCCACAGTCCCTGGGTGTTACAAGGTGGCTTGGCCCAATGACCACTTAGGGTAAGTGTTGGGCCCATAGAGCCCATTTGATGGGTTTCAAGGGGTGCACTGTCCTTAGCGGTGTATTCGGCCAGGCCTTGTAACAAAGGTTGGGCCGAACCCATGTGGCTGACGTGTGGATCAATGTTTGGGTCCCACGCCATACAAGGAAGCCCAACTAGGCAACAGTTAGGAA